GGTAGAACCCTGAGGGGGGAGGGGGTCTACCGGGGGAGGACCTGGCGCAAGGAAGAGCGGCGGCGGGGGGAGGGGTGCAGTGCGGTAGGGGAAGAGACGGTAGTAAGTAACCGACTTGTCAAAGGAGACATCCTAGGAGGACAGAACACGGCGCGAGGTGGGGTGGTAAAACTGCCTCCCAGGCGCGTCAAGGGGGAAGCCAAGGAAGATGCAGGGAACATCACAGGGGGATAGCTTGTCCGCAGACAAGTCGCGGACAAACGCCCGAGATCCTTAGACCCGAAACGAAGACACATCGCCAACCTTCCCCGTCCACCGCAAGGTGGGGGAGGTCTCTGGCAAGGAGACCCGGGGCTGAAGGTTGAGCTGATGCGCTGCGTACTGAACCGCAAATGGCCACAGAAAATGGGGAGCAGCCGCATGCATCATGGACGTACGAGCGACGTCCATGACCATGCCAATGCGGCGCTCAGCAATCCCATTTTACTGTGGAGAGGCCGGAAGTGTGAAGGTTTGGCGGATGCCCTGTGCACGACAGAAGGCTCCCAGACGGGCAGAGGAAAACTCCCCGCCTTTGTCAGAGTGCAGTCGCAGAACAGGAAAGTCCGAGCCGAAACTCTCTCTGAGCTGGAGACGAGCTGCGCGGATCCAGTCGATCAACACCTCAGTGACGTCACCCTTGCTGCGCAAGGGGAACATCGTGGTGTAACGCGAGTAGTCGTCAACAACCAACAGGAAGTAACGCTCGTGACCGTGGCCACGGACGCGGGCGGGGTTCCACACGTCCATGTGAAGAGTCTGCAGGGGAGCCGCTGTCGGAGGAAACTCGGAGGGGTGAGGGGCGGCGCGGTGCCGCCACTCGAGGCAGGGAACGCAGGTAGGGGCAGGCCCCGGAGGGAGGGGAGGGAGGGACCAGGGGAGACCAGAGACAAGGACACGAGAGGCCATGCCTCAGAGACGAGGCACGGAGGGGTGACCAAGGCGTTGGTGCCAAAGGAGGGTCTGGTGGGACAGGAGACGACACGAGCAGGGAGCAGACTCAGGACTAGACCTGGACGCTGCAGCAAACACCTGACTCGACGCAGCTACTGGACCAGACTCAGCAACCGGAGGAGACTGAATAGTCAGTGTGTACAGGCTCGACCCCGGCTGACGGGTCAACGTGGCCAAGTGTCGGCCCGTCCGAGCATACGTATAGTGGGTCACCCGCTGACTCGCAGGAGTGAACTGGTCAACTCCACCATCTTGTAGATCAGCACCACTCACCACGTTTGTAGAGAACGAGGGGAGGTAGAGACCTGACAGGGTGCCAGAGGGGGCTGCCGGACACGGTAAGACAGTGGAGAAGCGAGCAAGGACAGGACCCCCAGAGGGGAGGGAGACCGCAACCGGCCGACTAAGCGGCGTAAGCGTGGTGCGGTCTCGAAAGGAGCGGGAAGCACCCGAGTCAAGGGTGAAGGTGTGTAAGGCCTGAGCCGACGTGGTACCTGAGAGAGCAGAATCACCAGCACCGGGGGCAGCAGACGCACTAGCACCTAGAGCAGCAGCCTCACCAGCACCTAGAGCAGCAGCCTCAATGCCTGGGTCAGACGGAACACACAGGTAACAGTCACCCTCATCACTAGTAGACACAGCATATATGGCAGCAAGAATAGCATCATAGTCAAGATCAAAGATAGCGACCCCCACCCTAGACAGCTCTCCCTAGTGAGGGATCTCAGTGGCGTCAGGGAACTGGTGACGCCAAGTGTCGGTCAGGCGGCCGAAGCAACGCTGGGTGGAGTGCAAGCCCCCGCACTGCTCACCAGCGAGGTCGCCGGTATGGAGGATGTAGGTAAAGGGACCAGTACCCCCACCTCGCTGACGCGGGTCTCACGAGTGCGCTGCTGCTGCTGGCGCTGACCACCACCTAGGCCGCCCCGCTGCGCAGAGCCACCCCGACTAGCCCCACCTCATCTGCCACCACCTCCGCCACCGCCGCCACCGCCTCCTCCTCCGCTCCCACCGCCACCGCCGCCGCCGCCTCCGCCGCCACCGCCGCCACCGAAGCCCCCACCCCCGCCACCACTCCCACCACCAAACCCACTCCCTCCGCCTCCTCCACCTCCACCTCCACCGCCCCCGCCAGCCCCTCCAGCGCCCTTGCCCCCTTTGCTTTTGCCGGTGCGGCGTCACCCACTAGGGGCAGACGCAGTGCTGACCGACTCGATGCCAACGAAGTCGACGGCAGCAGCATAGGCAACAGAGGGCAAAAGGGGGGAGGGGGAGCACCCCTCAAAGACAGGGGCACGCGGGTCACCTCTAGAGGCTCCTACAGCAACTATACTCTTCTCTGCTGCTAGGAGGCGCTCCTCGAGGAGTTCAACGGTGAGTGTGGTGGGGCAAACAGAGAGGAAGTGGTCCTTGATCGAGCGAAAGGAGTCAGGGAGCTGGGTGACTATCTAGCAGAGGGTGATGTACATAGGGGGGGGGGTTCTTGGTGCAAAACTCAGCAGGAAGCGCAGCGCGGTAGCGGGTGTCACTAGTGCGAAGGTGCGTAACGAGGTCAGCGACAGTGGGAAAGGCGGCGAGGTCAGGAAACAGGTACGGCAGTATGAGGCGGCTAAGAGCAGGAGTGGCAGGGGAAGAGTAGCGTGCAACTACAGCGTTGTACAAGGTCTTAGCACTCTTGTACTGACTAGAGTGTGCACGCTCAACGGTCGGTAAGTGGCGACGCACAGCAAGACGGGCAGCAGCATCGCGCGTGGCCCACTGTGAGCGAACTGTGCTGTCAGCATCAGCAGGCGGGGCAGGAGAAGTACCAGAGGTGAGATCGAACAGGGAGAGTCCGTCTGCCCTATCGCACTGCAGGAAAAGCTGCAGGTCATCGACCTAGACCTCGAAGTCAATAGCACGACCCTCAGCATCAAAGGTAAGGACACTGGGGGTAGCCTCGGCGGCTCGGCAGCGAAGGCAGCTCGGCGGCTCAGCGGCTCGGTGGCTCGGCGGCACAGCGGCTCGGCAGGTCGGCGGCTCGGCAGTGAAGGCGCCTCGGCGAGGCCGTGAAGGGCGGCGTCACTGCCGCTAAGGAGCGGCGACGGGGCCGCTGAAGGGCGGCGACGGGGCCGCTGAAGAAGGGCAGCGACGGGGCCACGGAAGGGCGGCGACAGGGCCGCTGAAAGGGCGGAAACGGGGCCGCTGAAGGGCGGCGACTGGGCCGCGGAAAGGGCGGCGACCGGGCCGCGGAAGGGCGGCGACAGGGCCGCTGACAGGGCGCCAACGGGGCTGCGGAAGGGCGGCGATGGGGCCGCTGAAAGGGCGGCGACGGGGCCGCGGAAGGGCTGCGACGGGGCCACGGAAGGGCGGCGACGGGGCCGTTGAAGGGCGGTGACGGGGCCGCTGAAGGGCGGCGACGGGGCCGTAGTAAGGGGCGGCGACGTGGCCGCGGAAAGGGGTGGCAAAGGGGCCGCTTAAGGGCGGCAACGGGGCCGCCATAAGGAGCGGCGTCTGGGCTGCGAGTGGCCGCTAAGGGGCCGCGAGGGGCCACAAGGGGCCGTGAGGGAGGTGTGTCGGGGCCGCAAGGGCGGCGCGACGGGGCCACTAAGGGCCGTGAGAGAGGCCGCTAGAGGCCACTAAGGGGATCGACACTGGGCGTGACTCGGGCAGGGGCCAAGCACGCTCCGGGCAGGAAAAAAAAGTTCGGTGGGCTCTAGGAACAGTTCCCACGAGGGAACCAGCTCTATACCATGTGGAGTTTAGAACGAGAATGAATGCATTGAGCAGAATGAGGAGTATAAGTAGTAAACCCTAAAGTGTTGTACCCCATATGAACTACCCCACTACAGCCTGCACAGACTATAGCATATATGCCTGACAGGGAATGTGTGTTTGCGTCAGGTACATTCCGTGAGTTTCGCTGTTCTCGTGTTCATCACAAGCTAGGGGGGAGGTGTGTTGCGACTATGGCACAATGAGCGTCAAGAGTGACAGTTCTCGTTCGCGAAGGGTTTGGCGAATTCGAATACAACCTGCGAGGGCAACCTGAATCACAAAATGCACCGCCGATTGTCACGGCATGCCACAAGGTCTAATCGCAGGGAGAACTCTACTGGTCGTGCCTGCTGAAACTGGTTGACTTGATCCCACCTGAGAGAGTCCAGCTCGTTGATGGAAAATACAGAAGATGCAATAGCATGTGTCACAGAAAAGGGACTGAATTGTAGATGACGGGTATACATACACTCTCGCTATCTTTGATTCCGCTACACTTTCACATTTTTGTATTTCAGATATTTGTACTGCAACTCTTTCGACATATGGTGTCAACAATAAATGCGCGGTTCCCCGACTCACTTCATTTTGTTTGCCAGCGTAAATGTTTCGCTTAACCCTTTCGCGAAGATTTTTGGGCCCTTCGCAGCATTCATCTGCTTGTAGCTCCCTTCCCCATTTGACTCGCCCCCACCAACATGTTCTTCGCCAAGTTACAGACGTTCGGGGTCGCTACTGGTGGTTGGTAGAATTTGCTTGGTGAAATCACTTGGTACTACTCACTCCTCGCTGTGTACTTCCAGTGGGAAATTTTCGAAGGACATCGACACTAGCATGGTGCTCCTCGACACAACATAGCTACGAGAGCTTGGAAAAAGGACGAGTCCAACGAACGACTCTTTTTTAGACGATAAATTAACGTCTGAGATGTTTCTTGTCACGACAGATTGGTGACAGTGCAAGCATGAAACTGCGTGTCGACAGTGTCATAGCTACAAGAGTTTGGTAAAAGGCTACGATGACAGAAGTGACACTCGAGTTTGATGCTTGTGGAAATGCAAAAGGCAAATATATCCTTCGGTTGCGTCCATACTTCTGACGTTCGACACAGATACCACAGGTTACTACCTTGAGAGCTGCTTTTGCGTTCCCACACGAAGGATACGAAACGTACAAAATATATGGATTGGCTGCAATAATAGTACAAGAAGAATAGAACAATAGTACAACCTATATCTTGCGAAAACTTTTTATTTCTTTCCACCCTTGCCGCCCTTTCCACCCTTGCCCCCCTTCCCTCCTTTCCCACCCTTCCCGCCCTTTCCAGCCTTTCCGCCCTTTCCGGTGCTCGTCGTGCCGGCGGTCTGGCTACCCTCCCCTCCCCCTTGATCCCCCCTGCTCCCCACCAGCCCCGCCCTGCTCTCCACCTGATCCCCCTTGCTGCCCGCCGGTTCCCCCCTTCTCCCCGCCGGATCCACCCTGATCTCCGCCAGTTCCCCCCTGCTCTCCGCCAGGCCCACCCTGCTGGTTACCAGGGTACCCTCCCTTTCCCCCCTTACCCCCTTTCCCTCCCTTTCCCCCCTTCCCGCCCTTCCCACCCTTACCGCCCTTCCCACCCTTTCTGCCCTTTCCGCCACTTCCGCCAGCTCCGATAAGTGGCGCGCCGTTGCCGCCTTCCGAACCCCCATTGTCGCCGCCAGGGGGGCTGTCAGAACCGCCCTGACCGTCGCCGGCGTCTCCACCAGGGACCCCAGGTTCTCCACCAGTCTCCCCGCCAGTCTCTCCGCCGGTCTCTCCGCCAGGTTCTCCGCCACTGTCTCCGCCGGTATCACCGCCAATGTCTCCGCCAGTAGCTCCGGGATTGGCTAGTAGAACTTCGGGTGTCCTGAACGGAGTCTGCATGAGCGAGAGGCCCGGAATGCGACGTGGAGATTAAGTCCTTCCAAACGCTGCGCGAGTAGGAGAGAATGCGGGAGTGTTACTAAGGTGACATGTTGAATGAGGGAGAACGGCGAAAAGTGGAAGACAGAGCGAGGAAACGGAAGTGTAATTGGGGAGAAGAAATATAAGATGTTGGTGAAAAAGTGTTCATACGAGGTGTGGGAACTCACTAGGCGCGACGGAGGCGGACGCTACGAAAAGCGCAAGAAGCAGCAGCGGCAATGTTATGCCTCGCATCGTGTAACCCATTGTGAATTCGACGCTTGTTGAAGCATCACGAACAAACAAAAGGAGCGGATGACGCGAAGCGAAGTAGAGCGAGTTGAAGTGAGCAGGGAGTAACTGTTGAAGATCTAGTACTATGGGGTGGGAACTGATGATAACGATGGTAGGAACGAGTGGTTTTGTAGGAGGGTGGTGAGAACGCGGTTCGCACTTGCACAACATTGTTTACACAGGAATTGTTTGGAACGCAGAGTGAGCGGGAAATGTGTTTTCGCGCCCCGTGAATTGCGTGAGCTTCGCTGTTTCATGTTTCAGAGGCCAGGGAGTTGCAACGGTGGAGTGGCGAGCGTCGTGACGCTGGTTACTGTAAAGATGAGCCTGGCGAATTCGATTTCTTGCAATTTCCCAACCTGCGAGGGCAAAGTGGATCACGCCACAATTCACGATTCACAACATGCTCGACCGATGGTCACGGCGCGCTGCAAGTTCATTGCAGGTGGAAACTCCATTGGTCGCGCTAGTTGAAACCGGTTGACCTGATCCCACCTGGGATGGGCGAGTCTCGTTCGTCGATGGAAAATGCGGATGATGCGGTAGCAAATGCTGCGGCAAAGAGCAGCACGCCACTGTACCAGAATTCTTGCATTCGTCTACACTTCGTATGAGCTTGGTGCAATGCAAACTGTTTTTTGACAACAATGCGAGGTTCAGCGACGCACTTTGATTCGCTAGCATAGAAGTTCCACGTAACCATTTCGCCCAGCTTCCTCTGTCTTTCGCAACTGGATTCTGCTCTCAACTCACCTCCCCATACTCCTCACCAAAACTTCACGTTGAGTTGCCAAAGCTCCCCATGTCAGAATTTATATGTAATTGCGTGTAGCTGTAGTTTAGTGTAGTTATTATAAACTGTTGGTGGTGCACCTTCTTTGCATGCTCTGTTTACTATATGTACCCTAGCACTATAGTGAACATCCACCCTTCCCAATTCTCTCGACACTCTCAGCTTGGCACAAACCTCTCGACTTCCTCTTGGCCTAGGCTACTAAGCCTAGGCCGCCTTAAATCTCAACTACACTTAGGCTCGTTCTTTAACACCCCATATTACTCTTTCCCTTCTCTTCCTCTCCTCTCCTTCCCTTCTCTTCTTACATATACATATGTTATATATAATTTGTCTAGGCTTTATGGGGGTTAGCAGTAGGGGGTACACAATTTCTCTCGACATTCTTCTTGTACCCCAACCTTTGACCTAATCCAACATACCTTTTCTCCTCCTAAGTTCTAAGATGGTATATAGAGCCTAGAGGTCTTTAGGACCTACTATTAGGGCCCACCTAATATTACCTGCCTTGCCTACTGCCCGCGCGCGCGGCTCTTTCTTTTTTTCCCGCGCGCGCCACTTAAGCAGCCCGCGCGCAGCCCATGTAGGCCCATTTAGGCCTGTTTCGGCCCCGCGCGCCACGTCAGCGGCCCGCGCAGCCTGCCGCCGGCCCGCGCGCCGCATACGCCGCCCGCGCGCAGCTTTCTTAGGCCCTACGCGCCGCGTCCGCCGCTCGTGTAGCCCTTTTTTTTTTTTTTTTTTTTTTTTTCGGTCCCGCGCGCCACGTCAGCCGCCCACGCAGCCTGCCGCCGGCCTCGCGCGCTGCCCTGCACCAGCTACAATGCTCCTGGAGCAGCCGCCCCTGGACCCTGAGCGGCCGCCCCTGGCCCCCGAAGCAGGCGCCCCTGGTGCTTGAACCAGCCACCCCTGGTGCAGCCGCCCCTGGACCCTCGAGCAGCTGCCCCTGGACCCAGAGCAGCCGCCCCTGGCCCCTGCAGCAGCCGCCCCTGGTGCAGCCGCCCCTGGACCCTCAAACGGCCGTCCCTGGACCCAGAGCAGCCGCCCCTGGCCCCTGCAGCGGCCGCCCCTGGTGCAGCCGCTCCTGGACCCTCGAGCAGCCGCCCCTGGACCCAAAGCAGCCGCCCCCGGCCCCTGCAGCAGCCACCCTTGGATCCTCAAGTGGCCGTCCCTGGACCCAGAGCAGCCGCCCCTCGCTCCTAAAGCAGCCGCCCCTGGTGCAGCCGCCCCTGCACCCTCGAGCAGCTGCCCCTTGACCTAGAGCAGCCGCCCCTGGCCCCTGCAGCAGCTGCCCTTGGTGCAGCTGCCCTTGGACCCAGAGCAGCCGCCCCTGGCTCCTACAATAGCCGCCCCTAGTGCAACCGCCCCTGGACCACGTGACGCCGCCCCTGGACCCCGTGCAGCCGCCCGCCGAGCCAGCCTTGCTCGCCCGGCGAGCGCCGGCCCTTCCCACCATTGGTGAGCACCTGCCTTGTTCACGCACTGCCGCGCCTTCAGCCTGCGTGCCTGTCTACCTGCCTGCCTGCCCGCCTGCCTACCTACATGCCTGCCTGCCTGCCTACCTGCCTGCCTGCCTGCCTGCCGCACCTGCCGCACCTGCCCTGCCCACGCTGCTGCTGCTACTACTGCTACTCCTGCTACTGGCAGTGGCCAGATGCAGCTCCAACGACGTCCACGTGAGTCCCTCACGCCCCAGCAGCTTTGTGAGTGGTACGCTGGTTGGGGTTGTAGGGGTGGCCGCGCTACTACTGCTGCTACTGCTGTTGCTGCTGCTACTGCTGTTACTGCTGCTACTGCTGCTAATCTTGCTACTGCTGCTACTGGCGGTGGCCAGATGCAGCTCCAGCGACGTCCGCGCGAGTCTCTCACGCCCCAGCAGCTTCATGAGTGGTACGCTCAGAGTAGAGGGTCTCTGAGTACCGTTCGCTGCCCGTACATAATTCGCACAGGTGTTCGGACTGGTCAGGCTTGCGGGACACTTAGTCACACATAGTCCCGCTGCTTCGCGCGTCTGAGCGACGCTTGGCGTACCGAGTTTGGCGACGAGGCTGAGCTCCCCACCTGGCTGGAGCTACTTGGACAGGGGGTAGATGTCTTTGCTCTTGACTATGATGCTATTCTCACTGCCATGTATGCATTGCCTACTAGTGCTAACCGAGCGTGTTACCTGTGCGTACTGCCTGACCCAGGTATAGAGTCTGCTGCTCTAGGTGCTGGTGAGGCTGTTGCTCTAGGTGCTGGTGAGGCTGCTCCTCCAGGTGGTGGTGAGTCTGCTCTCTCTGGTATTGCGCATGTTGAGGCCTTGTACACCTTCACACTTGACTCCGGCGCCTCTCGCTCCTTTCGCGACAGCACTGCCCTTACGCCGCTTAGTCGGCCGGTTGCAATCTCCCTGGCAGACCCCTCTGGGGGTCCAGTCCGTGCGACCTCCACCACTGTCCTCCCTTGTCCTGCTGTCCCGTCAGGCACACTGTCGGGTCTTTACCTCCCCTCGTTCTCTACGAACTTGGTGGTGGGTTCTGCGCTCCAGGACGCGGGTGTTCACCAGTTCACCCCTGCCTACGAGCGTGTGACACACTGCACGTGTGCTCAGACGGGTCGTCACCTGGCTACCTTCACTCGGCAGCCGGAGTCGGGCCTGTACACACTGACCACTAAGTCCCTTCAGGTAGCTGCGTCTGCGTCTACGTCAGGTCAATTGTCGCCCCCCTGCTTGTGTCGCGCCTTGTCGCACCAGACCCTCCTTTGGCACCACCGCCTTGGTCACCCCTCGGTGCAGCGCCTTCGCAGCATGCATCGCCGTGTCCTTGTCTCCGGTCTTCCCCGGGTTCTCCCTCCCCTCCCACCTTGCCTGCTCCTCCCTGTCTTCCCTGTGTCGAGGGGCGGCAGCGCGCCGCTCCTCACTCCTCCTCGTTCCCTCCCACAGAGGCTCCCCTGCAGACTCTCCACCTGGACGTGTGGGGCCCAGCCCGCGTGTGTGGACAGGGCCACGAGCGGTACTTCCTGCTGGTCGTTGACGACTACACGCGTTACACCACGGTCTTCCCCTTGCGCACCAAGGGTGAGGTCCCTGATGTTTTGATCCCTTGGATCCGCGCTGCTCGTCTCCAGCTCTGCGAGTGGTTCGGGACGGAGTTTCCCGTCCTGCGTCTGCACTCTGACAGAGGTAGGGAGCTTTCCTCCGACCTCTTGGCGGCCTTCTGTGCGGAGCACGGCATCCGCGAGACGTTCACGCTTCCAGCCTCTCTGCAGCAGAATGGGGTTGCTGAGCGCCGTATTGGCTTAGTCATGGAGGTCGCTCGCACCTCCATGATCCATGCGGCTGCCCCCCATTTTCTGTGGCCGTTTGCGATCCGGTATGCCGCGCATCAGCTCAACCTCTGGCCCCATGTCTCCTTGCCGGAGACCTCGCCCACGCTGCTGTGGACGGGGAAGGTTGGCGATGTGTCGCGTTTCCGGGTCTGGGGTGCTCGTGCCTTCGTCTATGATGCCACCGCGGACAAGCTCTCCGCCCGCGCTGTTCCCTGTGTCTTCCTTGGCTTTGTCCCTGACGCGCCTGGTTGGCAGTTTTACCACCCCACCTCGTGCCGTGTCTTCCCCTCTCAGGACGTCACGTTTGACGAGTCGGTTCCCTTTTACCGTCTCTTCCCCTACCGCACTGCACCTCTCCCCCCCCCGCCACTCTTCCTTGCTCCAGGTGCTACCCAGGTAGACCCCCTCCTCGCTCCCGGTCCTGCTCCTTCAAGTGTGTCTCAGGTAGATCCTCCTCCCTTGACTGTGCCGGTTGAGGTCACTGGTGACTCAGGTCCTGCTCGGGGTGCTGCTTCTGGGGGTGCTGAGCCTTGGGGTGCTGAGCCTGGGGGTGTGGAGCCTGGGGGTGCTGAGCCTGAGGGTGCTGAGCCTGGGGGTGCGGAGCCTGGAGGTGCGGTGCCTGGGGGTGCGGGGACTGGAGGTGTTGAGCCTGGGTGTGAGGAGTCTGGGGGTGCTGAGCCTGGGGGTACTGAGTCTGGGGGTGCTGCACTTGGGGGCGCTGAGGAGTCTGGTGAGCAGTCTCCCTGGGGCGGCCGTCTCCGTAGTCGCTCCGCCGGTACCTCGCCGCTGCACTCTCGTTGTGGACTCCCTCTCTCCCCACAGCAGCTGCTTTAGTGGTACGTTAGCCGTCACGGACGCGCTGCTGGAGCTA